CACTTGAATGTAATAATGAGCTATGCAGAGGTAAAGCTAAACAAGGAAGCTGACAAGCTTACAGGAGAAGCTCCCTTATCAAATCCAGTATAACTCTTATTGACAGAATAATGACTTTCTCTGTACTAGTAAAGTGAAAATGACAAGCATGGAATGTCTTCTTTGATATTCAGAAGGAATGAGACTAGTGGAAAACAAAGTAATGTATGATGTGGCTAGGAAAAGCAAAAGATGGGGAATCAATAGAACAGTATACAGCCAGAAAGTCATTGGCAAAATCAGTAACAGAGCTCTGTCCTACATGCTGTGGGGAACTTGGTCTGTCAATGAACCCCTGGGATTGTCACTAGTGCTCATATCTAAATAATTGTGATATAATGACACTTTTGTTTAAGTTTAAAGTAACATTACTGCAAAGAAAAGGAAGTCTATAAAAAAATATTAATATATACAGAATCTTTTCTTTAATGCAGTTTGTGAGGCTTGCAAAAAGAGGTTAAATCCTGCAGACAGTGTATCCCTACCACTGCATATGTCCTGTTACTGGATATATCTTAAAAACCAAGAAAGACTTGATAATTTCCCATATTGTAACCTGTACTTTGATGTCAGTTGTTTACACTTGTTGTTGCTTTTTTTTCCTATGGTCTGATGCTTATAATACCCATCTCTCTTTCTCTAGGCCCTAAAATTATATCCATGAAATAGAAAATAAGGTGCTAGTCTTGGTTTACACTAATAAACTAACATATTCTACTCCTTTATCATTACAGTTATTACCATACGTTTATTTTCACTTAATGAAAGAATTAAAACTTTTTGATAGTTTACCAACCTGCAGACACTGGTCCTTCTATACTATAAAAATTAATGTCTCTCAGACCAAGAAAATACCATAAGTAGTGCTATACTAGTAAGGTCAACTGTATGCATTGTTGTTCAAAAATCAAATTATCCCTCATACTACCAACTTGTCCTATACTATACACTACTGGTGGGACCCACATGTGACATCATACTGATCAATTTTATGCAATTGCCTGTTAACATTCAATTTAAAGAATTTAAACATATTGGGTGAAATCACTTATTTTGTTTTATGTAAGTTTCACAGGAAACCTCAATGCAAATTACAGGAATTCAATACAATATTAATTGTACTTTTTGTTTAAACTGTTTTTCATATGTTATTAGGAATCTTGTAACCAACAAAGTCATGTACCCAAATTTGGTGCATAAATAGTTAAAAAAAAGTTTGAAAGGCTGATTGAGTTTGCATGGATCACACTGGGAATTCTAGGATTAACTGCTAACCTAATGCACACAAAAAATTAACTATTGGCAGAAGTAACAATTCCTTAATTTACTTCTTTTCTTAAAAATTATGATATTTCAGTCTAATCACTAGGTGAAGAATAAGCAGTTTTCCATTTCACAAAATTGTCATTAAATATTCTTTGATAGATGAAGGGCAGAAGACTTTCGAAACGTCGGCATCTATACTTGTGTTTCTACAACACGCAGCTGCCATTCATTTTAACCAAAGTTCATCATTTGTTATTAAATATGTGTTATTGGTAGTGAGTTTCCAAAGATAACTGGTAGTCTAAAAACTGTGCTTGAAAACAATTGACAGAGGCATGTGTTAATCTTCCTCCCTATACCATGGAAACATGTAGAGAGCAAGAACTTAGTAACATACACCAAATATACAAGGGCAAGAGTCATGTACATCCACTAAAGACAATCGACCTTGTCAATCTTGATCAGTGGATCAGAATGTGACTTTAAGATACAGATGTATTTTCTAACAATCTAACAGATAAACTTACAAATTGGGTAAATCAAGAAAATAAAGAAATTCAGTTTAAACTGTATAATAGCTTTTTTCTTTTGTATAAATAAGATATAGGAACATGAGATCAGAGGGATTTGTAACTGTTTATATTGTCAACACAAGCAACATTTACACACCATTTGTCTGTGGTGTGAAACCTGGTTATTAGATTCTTCACTTGCATACACAAGCCATTAAACTTAGTTTCTATTAGGTGGGAAAAAAGCCTATTAAATCTTGTTTAAACTACTAACATACAAAAATTACACTGATGGATAACAATATTAGTATTTTTATAAAAACTGAGTTTTTGTATTTGTAAATGAAATATGTACGCAGATCATGAGCATACATGCAAGTTAACTTCTGTATAATACATGATATCCATATTATTGTAACACTTTATTATATTAAATTGACAAGAATGAGAACAATACAAGATAAACAATTGTTGTTTATGGTGTAATGAAGGCTAACACTACGACGCTAGTATCATTTGTGATTCGAAGGATATCCAGGCAATAATCAATTTCCACCCAC